CTCTGTGCTGACTGCCAGCTCAGAGCCTGGAGCCTGTTTCAATCTGTGACTCCCTCTCTCTGACCCTCCCCTGCTCGTGCTGTCTCTCTCTCTCCTAAAAATAAATAAAACATTTAGAAAGGAAGGAAGGGAGGGAGGGAGGGAGGGATGCCCTCATCTGAGAGATGATGTTTAAATGACCCCGAGGAGTCAGGAGTGGCTGGTTGCCACCGGGGGTGACAGTGCACCAGGCTGAGGGGAGAGCAGGAGCAAAGGCCCTGTGGCGAGAACAGTCCCGGCACGGATGAGCTTTAGGTCTGTTTGCCGAGCGTGGGCCTGGCTGCCAGCGGCGTCCTTTGGTGTGAATGGCCTCTTGCGTAAACAGAACCAGCTTGAGAGCAAGAGGACTCCAAACTTCTGAACCTGTGCTGCCTCCCCCGGCCCCCAGTTCCGGGAAGGGAAAGAGGCTTACAGCCAGTAACTGCTCAGCGGGACAGCCGAGGTGAACCCCAACACCATCTGCTCCAACCCGCAGGGTCCCACGTGCCATCAGCACTCTGGCCCTACCGGCTTCTGGGGAGCAGGGTGTCAGCTGGAAGTGACCAAATGCCCTTGGGAGGGGGGTTTCAAGAAGGGGCATCGGCCATTGCAGGGAGCGGAGTGCCTCCCCCAGGAGCCTCCTGCTCACGTCTGATATCCCGCTGGAGCTCACGGGGAGCCCCTGCCCTTGATCTGAGAGCCCAGCTTGCCCCGTTCGGTCACTGCTCACCTGACACCTCTGACTCTTCCCTTCCAGGCTCCCAGCCCAGGCCCAGACCTGTGGTGGCAGGGGCTGCCCAGACCCCGGTTCTCTGTCCTTGAGCTGATGACATGGAGCACTGCTGGCCTTACAGAATAAGTGAAGGCCGAGGGCGCCCGGCTGGCTCAGTCTTGATCTCAGGGCTGTGAGTTTGAGCTCCATGTTGGATATAGAGGTTACTTACAAATAAAATCTTAGTAATAAATGAATAAGGGAGAGCTAAGTGTGAGGATCGTTGCTTCCGAGGAAAGAACCCCAAATATACCCCGCCCTGGGGCTGGGGGGGCAGATAGAGCAGGCGCGTGTTGGTTCGGGGGGGCCCCAGACTCTCATGCTCAAAACGCACCTCCGAAAGGGCCCTGGAGCCCATCACTAGTGATTTTGAGGGGACACAGCGATGCGGACAGAGAGCTGGCATGGAGAGAGCAGGATCGCACACTGGCTGTGCCGAGATGTCTCCTCCCCAGGGCTCTCGGGGACACTGGAGGCCGCGCCGTTCCATCTGTGGGTCTGTCTCGTTGTGCGCCGGTGGGGGATGGCTGTGTGGTTAAGAGGCCCCACAGGAAAGGAAGCACGTAGGCGGGTGCGGTCGGTTCTGATGGGGCCACGGTGGGCCTGAAGCCCAGGCCAGGCCCGCTGAGGGCAGCTTCAAGGACAGTGAGGGCCCTGGCCCCAGGGTGTGGGGCAAAGCCTTGGACAGAGGGCAGGGGTTCGGATCGATGCAGAAGTATCACTGCCCAGCCCGGTGGGCCTCCTGGGGGCAGCGGGGGCTGCCGGTGGGTGTCCTCAGCCTTGTCCCGGCCCCTTAGGAGCAGAGGCTCCGGGGTGCTCTGGGGACAAGGGGGGTGCAGTAGGGAGAAGGCCCCCTGCAGATCCCCCAGAGGACCCGGCCACACGCTGCCCTTGAAGAGGGAGGGTTGGTTCCTGCTCCAGGAAACCCTCCCTTGAGCCCGGGAGAGAACCTCGCAATCCCATCTCTGCTTACATAACTTGACACACCGGTGTGTCAGCCAAGTTCAAACTGGTGTTTTTGCTTTCACCAAAGTGTATTTACCTCCCCGGGGGAGGCTATAGTTCATCCGTCCTTGACCCCTGAAGTCCTGGCCTGCCCCGCCCCCAGCGGGGCTCACAGACCTGAAGTGGTGTCCTCACACCCCGTGGCCCCCGCTGTCTGTGTCCAGCGGCTGGGGGCCCAGCCCCGCTCAGCCAACCCTCCTCCTCTGAGGCCTTGCCGGAGGTGCTTGGATTTTGGGAAAAAAGGGCTCTTCTGTCTGAAGAGCTCAGAGATGTTCCAGAAGATTCCACAGTCAACCCCCAAAAGGAGACTTCGGGGAGGAACAGGAGGCCAGGTCAGGAACTGGAGTTTCTGCCGCCTTTAGGGAGGAGGATGGATAAATTGACTGCGTTCCAGCATCTTCTTGGTACTTATGAACCGGGTGGACTCAAGCACACAGCTTCGCCTCCCCGAGCCCTGTTTTTGCTAACCCTTCAAAGCAGAAAGAGCTCCCCCTTCCTTGTTCGTGGGGTAATGCGTGTTTGAGGAGCCTCCTCGCAGAAGGCTGTGCCGCCCAGACGCAGGCCGTCCCGCCAGGGGCCCATCGCGTCTCCAGCCGGCTGTGTCCTGCCCCGGGAGCCCGGGAGGCTGTCAGGACGCTGATGACCGGGAGCAGGAGGTCAAGGGCATCTGTGATGCATCAGAGAGGCCGTGGGGGGGCCTGCGCCTTCCCTGAGGCTCCCCGGGGGATGGGCGCCCTCGGCCTCACTGAGTGGTGACCCTCCTGCGAGTTCCCCTTCTTGTTGGGACCGGAGAGACCCGGGCCTTCCGGAAAGTAAGAGAAGTGCTGTGCTTCCCAGGCCAGGATTAGTGCGGCTGGTGACCGGCACCGCTCCGGAAAGTCTGAGTCTCTTGCCAGGTTTCTGGGGCATCGGATGTACTTTTCGGCTTTCCAAGATTTTTGCCCGTGGCAGGACCTGCTTCCTGAGTCATGTTGTCCCCGCAGGAGCGGGTGGGCCCAACCACCAGGCCAGGGAGGGCGGCCCTGTTCCCCTCGCCCGGCTCCGGTCCCCTCCCTTCTGCTGAGGCAGGGCTGTTCGGTCGGCCTCAACGGAGCTCCACACGTATTTTGTGGCTTCTGCAATTTGTATTCCTTTTTGCTACCCAGACTTTGCCACAAGCAGAGTAACCCCAGGCAGAGATACCAGCAGCCCAGAACATTCAGGCAGCACAGGGCCCTCTCACTGCGGTCCAGACAGGTGCAGACAAGAAAGCGGGTTCGGGCCCTCAGCCAGGCCCAGCCAGCGGCGCTCTCCCAGCCCTGAGGAAGCTTCCAAGTGGGAGCACATGGTAGAGGGCGGGCAGAGTGAGGCCAGCGCTGGGAAGGAGATCAGGGTGCTCAGTGGGGCACCATCTGGCCCACCCCCTTTATCCTCAGGAATCCGAGTCATGTCTCTCTGCTCAGAGATGCCAAGGGCTGAGACCCCATGGAGCACAGCGCTTTGTCCTCAGGCGGCGAGCAGGATTCCACTCGGGCTTCTTCTCCTGTAACTTGAAACGGATGGAAAACTGAGCCAGGGGACGGAACAAGGTCTCAAATGACTCTCCCTGGCCACGAGCACACAATCCTCTGATCGTGGCATCCAGCCTCGGGCCTGCACAGAAGGCTGTGCAGATGAGCCTGCGGTGGGCTCCCCTCAGCCGGCAGAGACCCTCCCGAGGTTCCGGGGCCTCCCTCCTCCCGCTGAGCCCCCCCACGACCCCCCCTGGCACTGGCCTCTGGGGCCTATGTTGCCCTGGCACCCCTGCCCTTCACTCCTGCAGAGATCACTGAGCTTCTGTCTTGGTCCCAGCAGCACGTTGTCTTCAGGGACAGTCCCCTCGGCCTCGGTCCCTCCCGCCCACCTGTAGTGTCCTCGAGGTAAAGTACTAAGTGAAGGCCCAGGACGCATGGGGGGCTCAGTCGGTTAGGCATCTGACTCGGGCTCAGGTCATGATCTCGCAGTTCGTGGGTTCGAGCCCTGCATCGGGGTCTGTGCTGACAGCTCAGAGCCTAGAGCTGCTTTGGATTCTGTGCCACTCTCTCTCTGCCCCTCCCCTGGTCGCACTGTCTCAGAAATAAACGTTAAAAAAATTTTTTTAAGTGAATGCCATGTGGGGCTGTCGCCCCTTGACCGAGGTAACTCCCTGAATCCCTAGCCCGGTAAGGCCCGGACAGGTGGGGACTCCAGCCTGAAGTCACGTGGCCTGCGAGTGGCAGGACCGTGACTGGAGGCCAGAGGTCGGTGCCTGAGCCAGCGAGTGCCCCGGGGCGTTTTTATCACACCCGCAGCTCCAGTCCTTCTGTCTGTCTGTCCGTCCACACAGGCAGGAATGGAGAGTCGGTTGGGGGGCGGGGGTCCCCTCCAAGGCAGCTGGGGATGCCCCTTCCCTGCGGGCCAGAGCAGGGCTCCCCACAGAGCCTGCAACCCCCCCCCCCCGCCCCCGCACTGTTTTTACTTCTCTTTTATTCTGCTTTGTGTTTGCCTGCAAACTGCATTTTTCCTTTCCCTCGGGTCTTGGCCCTGGGCTCTTCTTTCTCCCAGGGCTTGGCTTGGGGCCTAGTGGGAGGTAAACAAGGCCCTTGTCCGGGCAGGGGTTCAGGGCCCATCCCGGCCTCACCCGTTCCGAGTACCCCCCACCCCCACTGTCGTCTGGCCTCTGGGGTTCCCAGGAAAAGGCTGTAGGGGCCGAGGCGCTGCAGCCGGGCCACCTCCTGCCCTTCCCCCCTCGGCCCTCCCAGGGCTTTCCTGCTCTGCCCGGGCCAGCTGCCACGCCCCCCCCTCTGGGCCAGCTGCTACCCCCGCCCCCCCCCTCCGGAGCCAACAGCCAGCCGGTCCGGTCCGGGAGGCTCTGGCGGCTGTCGGGAAGCCCCAGGGCCCTGCGCTGGCGGCAGGAAGGCGGACGCCCCCATCCTCCGCAGCCTTGGCAGGCAGCCTGCACGAAGGAAAAACGCTGCCTTTCCCTTTCCGCTGCATGTTCCTTTGCGGCAATGGCGGTGGGGAGTGTGGTGCGGGCCCGGCGGGCACGCACACCCCTGCGCCCCGCTTTCTGTCTGGCCTGGCGTCAGGGCCCGTGTACCACCGCCTCCCCGGTTCTCGCTCTGCCCCGGAGCCGGCCGTCCAGACCCACCTCCCTCAGGAGGAGCTGAGGCCCTCGCTCTCATGTGAGTCTGAGTCACAGACAGGAAAGCGTCAGGAAGCGGGGCAGAGGGCGGAGGCCCCGTGTGCACAGCGCTGGGCCCTCCCGGCCTCTGTTCTCCGGGAACAGCCAGGGGTGTCCGGCTGCCTGGTACAGGTGAGCGCAGATCTGGGCTCAGCTGCTCTGCGTGCCTTTAGGAGCACTTTCTGACTATGATGGGTCTCACACCTGCTTGGGGGAAGGGGGGCTCTCTGAAGGCAGCTGCCAGGACCCCCCCTCCCCCCAGCACTAGCGTTCAGCAAGGTCCAGAGTCTGAGCCTCATCTTTTAGATCCCAAATCCTGAGATCTGCAGGCCACCGGGCCCACCGGCTCTCCAGTCTTTCTTCTGGGGGAATTTGTCAGAACACCACCTTCCACCTCCTCTGCCTTCTCCCTGCATCCCACGGTCCATGTCTCAGAATAGTCTAAGAAGTAGAGTATGTATATAAGTCCTCAAGGAGAGTTCAGCCATCTTTCTGTGCACAAGTTCTAAAAATCCTCAACACGGTCATTGAAGAATTTTTATTTATTTTTTGGTGTTTATGCATTTTGAGAGAGAGAGAGAGCGAGCGAGCGTGCACGTACATGTGGGCAGGAGAGAGGCAGAGAGAGAATCCCAAGCAGGCTCCAGGCTGTCCACGCAGAGGACCCAGGGATCGAACTCACAAACAGCAAGACCTGAGCTGAAATGAAGAGTTGAGATGCTCCAGGTGCCCCTCGAAAACTTTTGAAATTCACTCATTAAGCAGATATTTTGAGTGTCCAATACGTGCCAGGCGCTGGGGACCAGAGGGGAGTCAGGGCAGACACCGCCTCTACCCTCGGGCAGCCTACTTCCGGGGGGTGGGGGCGGGGGGGGGGTCTACCCTCAAGGAGCTTACTTCCAGGGGTGGGAGCTTACTTCCCTTGGGGCGGGGGCAGGGGAGACGATATTGTCTCAGGACCTGGGACAAATGTCTGCGCGACACACGAATTAGGGATGGAGCCGCACCATGCTGACCTGGGTGGGGGTGAGGGTGCTGCCGGGAGAAGGGACACTGGATTGGAAATTTGAAGGGTGAGCTGGGGTTCGGGAGCTGAGAGGGGGAGGTGGGGCCCAGAGGAGGGCGAGGAGGGGAGGGGAGGGAAGGGGAGGGGAGGGATGGGTGGGTCAGAGCTAACCGGCCCTGAAGGGCCAGCCAGTGTCAGCCGGAGGCACTCCCGGGGTTTCCCCAAGCGATGTGCGTGGTCAGGCTCCTACTCGCAGAAAGTCCTCTGGCCACAGAGCGTGCAGGGGTGGGGTGTGGGGGGCAGAGCCCGTGTGAGGGGACCGTTCTGGGCCTCTGCTCTGGTCTGGGGGAGACGGCCGTGCAGGTGGATTTGAGATGGCCTTTGGAACTTGCCAATTGACTGGATCCCCGGGGGTGAGACGAAGGAGGGGGTTTCAGAGACATCGCCTGGGCCCTTGGCTTGGCATTGGGGGGGCTGTGGTGAGGGAACCCCCGAAAAAGAAGCCCAGCAGGACAAGGTCACAGCGCCATCGCAGACGCACCCGAGGGGTGTTGAGATGCTCAGGAACAGGTGAGGCGGCGGTGGCGGCCGGGGTCTCGGTGAGGAACACAGACGTGCAGGGGGGACGGCGGGAGCCTCGTTCGCGGACAGGAAGGCCCCACTTGGACACCGGTTCTCTGTCCCCACAGCCAGGTTCCTTTACCCACTGGCTTTTGGATCGTCCTTTACCCCGGCGGGTTCTTGGCCACTAGAAAGTCACCCAGCAGAGTCCCAGCCACAGCTGCCCGAGCATGTTTTGTGTGGGGAGGGCGTCTGATGCACCGCTCAGTGGGGCCGCAAGGAAGACGGCACCCTCACCGTCGTAACTGTTATAAAAATGTATAATTGTTTTGTTTTGAGTAGATAGTACACGCTTTTGGTTAAAGATTTTTGGCGGCACCTGGGGGGCTCAGTCGGTTAAGCATCTGACTTCGGCTCAGGTCCTGATCTTGCGGTAGGTGGGTTTGAGCCCCACGTCGGGCTCTGTGCCGACAGCTCGGAGCCTGGAGCCTGCTTCAGATTCTGTGTTTCCCTCTCTCTGCCCCTCGCCACTTGTGCTCTCGCTTGCTCTCTCTCTCTCTCTCTCTCATTCTCTCAAAAGTAAACAAACATTTTAAAAAATGATTTTTTTTCCCAAGGCACAAAAGCTCATTTTGACAGTGTGTTCCCTCGTTGAGGGCCATCAGTGTGGCTGGTGGTGGGACGGACTCCCCGACGGTCTTTGGCGGGTGGGACCCTCGGCCGCGCAAGTGGGCCCGTTTATCATGCACACGTTTCTGCGCTCTGCTGTCCTCACTGTTCATCAGGGAGAGCGTTCCAGAGCTGCACAGAGCTTGCCTCCTTTTTTCCCTTTAAACCTGTGTGGCGTAGGGAAGGAGCATCTCTTCCCTCCAGGCCTTTGGCTGGACAAAGAATTCAATTTACACAGGACAGATTAACAGGAGGAAAAAGCCCCAAAGATTTATTACGCGTGCACGGAGTCCCAGTAAGGAAATTGAGACCCAGAGAAATGCCCAAGCAAAGAGTTTGTATACTTTTTTTTTAATGTTTTTATTTATTTCTGAGAGCGAGAGACAGCATGAGCAGGGGAGGGGCAGAGAGAGAGGGAGACACAGAATCCAAAACAGGCTCCAGGCTCTGAGCTGTCAGCACAGAGCCCGACTCGGGGCTCAAACCCACAACCATGAGATCATGACCTGAGCCGAAGTTGGATGCTCAACCGACTAAGCCACCCAGGCGCCCCGAGTTTGTATATGTTTTAGACAAAGCGACAACGCATCTGCAAGGGCTTGACCGGTTCCAGGTCCTCACAGGCCTTAACCAGCAGGAACTCCAAGGAGATGGAAGTAGGTTAGAGACACACGGCAGGTTTGTTTGCACGGCATTCTCGGTGTTCAAGGCCCCATCTCTGGTGATAAGGGTGTCTTTTCATTTCTTACAGCAGGAAGAGCATTTTTCATGGGGGATGTTTGTTTCCTGCTCTCGAGGATGGAGGGCAGTCTCCAGCCCATGTGCCAGCTGTTTCTTAAGTGACTTTTACTTAAAATAATCACTACACCGAAGGGGCACCTTTGAGGCGGCGTGCCCCAGATTCGTTCTGTGAATCAATCACACCTTATCTTGTCCCCGGCTGGTGGACGCTCTGGTTGTGGCCAGTCTTACCCTTCTACCGAGAGCAAAGGGAGAGACCAGCTGCGGTGAGGGTGGGTCTTCCGGTACAGACGACATTGTATGTTAACAGAGGTCAGTGCTCTGGAGAGAGAGAGGGGCTCCTGGCTGGCTCAGTCCAAGGAGTGTGCAACTATTGATCTCAGGGTTGTGAGATCGAGCCCCATGTTGGTTACTTAAAAATAAAATCTTTAAAAAAAGAAAAGGCAGTTTTGAAGACTGAGCATTTTTTGTTGAGAGTTCATCCATGGGGAGCTGGATATATACTTCTCCCCCTGACTTTTTCAATTAGTGAGGACAGTGTTAGGCTTTGTATAATAGAGAACTCAAAGCATCAGTGGCTTAAACAGTGTAGAAACGTGTTTCCCTGTCACACAAAGGGTGTTTAGGAGTAAGTAGTCCCACTGTCAGCAGGAACCAATTTTCCATCATCGTCCTAGTGCTGACCTCTCTCAAGATCACCTCATGGCCCAAAATGGCTACCAGAGTCCAGGCATCACATCTGTGTCCCAGGAAGCATGAAGGAGGAAGGGGGAAGGCCAAAAGGTGCATGCTTCCCAGCTGAATCCGGGCTCTTTCCAGTCTTCCACACACGTGCAAGACCCCTGCACACTTGTGCAAGTTGTGCACTACACAATCTTAGAGGATGCCACACACGGCATCCACATGGTGGATTTGTAAATTTATTTACAAGCACTTTCTAGAAAATAGCATCCTAGGACAAAAGCAGCAGATTGGGTTAATTTTCTGACAGCGTTCTGAAGAACGGGGGTCTTTTCCTAATTCACACAAAGTTACCGTCTGGGCCAGGGGTGGCTCTGCCTCAAACACACAGCTCTGTCTGCACCTAATCCTCCCTCAAACCCTCAGCTCGCTCCTGAGCCACAGGGAGCGGCAGGAATGTAGCGCTGAGCTGGGCTTTGCCAACAATTCCGTTGCCAGGACGGAAGGGGAGAATTGAGCTGGCAGGCTCTGCCGCCCTGTGTCTTGGTCAGAAGGCATGTTTGCTGAGCGGCCCGCTCACTGCGGGCAGCCGGGCGAGGGTGCCACGTTCTGAGAAGCCTGCCCAGGCCACCTTTTTCTCACGCAGCCACGCCGTGCTCCTCTCCCCAAGTACACTTCCTCCCTCGCTCCAGAGTCTCAGCTTATAATTCACTGAAGGGTCCTCTGAACGGCAAACCCGATTTCTGAGTTAAAACTCCTGGCTTCATCGTGGAAAAGGAACAGGTGACCAAAGTGGGACCCGTTTTGGGCGGTCCAGGTAGAAATGGAAAGAGTGCAGCCCAAAGATCCTAAGCATCCGCGTCTACGCCGAACTCGCGTGTGGATCCTAGAAGCTCCTTGCTTACACGGCGCACTTTCTTCCTGCCTGGTAACATCCCAGTTATCCTTAAACCTCTGCTCGGGTCCTCCTCCTCCAGGCAGCCGTTGTGCCGCACTTAACCACTGCCATGTTTGCACGCTTCTCCTCCATCCGTGGACGTAGCTTATTTGTTCATCTGTCTGTCTGTCCCACCAGAGCCTGAGCTCCGCAGGTACGGGGCTGTGACTCCCCTCCCTTGCCTGCAAGGGGCCGGGCTCATGGTCATGGCCATGTCTGCTGCAGTAATCTCTGGTCCAAAAGGAAGTTCGTCTTTCCTCTCCCAAGGCCCCGATCCGAATCTCTTACTTACAAAGAACGAGTGACTTCCTGGTGCCTCACAGGCCACATGCAAGTCACAAGAGTTGATTTCTGCTCTTAGGACCAATCCTCAAATGAATTGTACATTTTAAAGCTTGTATTTTTGCCCCGAGCCGGACAGAAATACTACCTTCGCTCTAGCCGTTGGCCGGTGACGGTAAGCACTTGCCGGACTTGACCTCCTATGCTTAGAGCCCTTACGTTGCAGGAGGCAGGCTCCGAGTCAGCAGATCCTGCTGTGTAGAGTCAGAACCCGGGCAGGTGGCTGCACTTGATGGGCAGCATGCAGGCTCGGAGGGCCGTGACCACCGTCGCCCCTGCAACGACGACCCCACACGCTCCTGAGTTGTGTCCTGCACCTGCTCAGGCCTGGCGCATCAGGTGTCTCTGCCCCAGGCGGCACCCAGACCTGAGCCCCCCCGCCCCCCGCACTTGTCATCACTGTGAGTGCCGGCCCCGTCCCCAGAGGAAACGCGTTCTGATCTCTCGTGGGCAGTGACGGTTCTGTGTAACCCGTCCTCTGGGTAAAGGGAGCCCCACAGCGGGTGCACATTTGGGTCTGGCCAGTTTGGTTTGGCACCATCTGCAGTCACCCGCGTCATGTGCGTATGAATGTCCGGTTCTGGTTCTAGTAGATTCCGCCCACGCTCCCGGGAGGTGGTAGGCGAGTCTGCTGCCAGATGTGGATTTCTCTCCAGGAGTCGCCGCCATGCAGTTCCGACGGAGCCCTCCACGCGTCCTCGCCCCTTAAAGAGAGACGTCTTACTTGAGTCTCCTCGCGGCAGGACGGAGGCTGCTAGCGTCCCCGCTCTTTCTTTATTTTCCTTCCTTCGTTCGTTCCTTCCTTCCTTCTTTCCTTCCTTTGTACCTTTTTCTTCCTTCCTTCCTTCCTTCCTTCCTTCCTTCCTTCCTTCCTTCCTTTCTTTTCCTCTCTTTCATTCATTCTTTCTTGGTAAATGTTTATTTATTTTGAGAGAGAGCGCACATATGAGCAGGGGAGGGGCAGAGAGAGAGAGAGAGAGAGAGAGACCCAAGCAGGCTCCTTGCTATCAGTGCAGAACCTAACTTGAGGGCTGATCTCATGACCGGGAGACCATGACCTGAGCCGAAATCGAGTCGGACCCTCCACCGAGTGAGTCCCCCAGGCGCCCCCCAAGCTCCTCTTTCTGTCTCTTCTGAGGAAGGACAGGAAGTGGGACACACGGGGATTCAGAGAGCTCACGTGAGCCGTGCTAGGCAAGTCCGCAGACAGAACGTGGATTAGTGGCTGCCTGGGGTGGCAATGAGGGGCTGGGGCCTGAAGACTAGGGGTCTCTCTTATGATAGAAATGTCCTCTAGCCCGGACGATGGCCACACCTGTCTGTCTACACTGACCATCCCCAGATTGAACACTTTAAGTGGGTGAATTATATGGCACGCGAATGATGCCTCAGTAAAACTCTTTGAAAAAGGGGCGCCTGGGTGGCTCAGTCGGTTAAGCGTCCAACTTCAGCTCAGGTCATGATCTCACGGTTCGTGGGTTTGAGCCCCGCATTGGGCTCTGTGCTGAC